TATCGCAAGACGGCACCAAAACCGGTTCACAACCCCACAGAAGGTACGAGAACCACCAGTGAAATGCGTCCCTTCTGGGAGGAAACACCATTTACCACACGTATGTGAATCCCAAGCTACTGGTTGCCCTGATAACTCAGTAAAACGATTTAGAAGTGAAAAAAAATCTGATAAAATACCCTGTGGGAGATACCCTGGAGTGGGATAAAGAATACCACAGGAGCTTTTCTGCGTTCCAGTAACTCACGGGCCAAACAAGGGTTACACACTCAAGCCCTTCTGAATCCCAAGCTACTGGTTGCCCTGATAACTCAGTAAAAGGATTTAGAAGTGAAAAAAAAATCTGATAAAATACCCTGTGGGAGATACCCTGGAGTGGGATAAAGAATACCACAGGAGCTTTTCTGCGTTCCAGTAACTCACGGGCCAAACCAGGGTTACACACCCAAGCCTTTCAACCAGAGGGACTATTGAGCTGCTGAGGCCCAAGGAGGTGATTTCTGGACATGCTTCGGGCTCCACTGCTCATCCAGCCCTTGTTTTCTTCCTCCGCCAGCAGAGAACAGGTTGCAATTCCTGCTCCTTTGCCTGCAACTCACCTCCGCCAGAAGGACTATTCTCTTCCCGTCTGGCCAGATGACATGGTCCACCTGGGACCTCACCCTCTCCCAGGTCAGCTCGGGTGTACGCAGGCTTGCCTGAAACACAGCGTTAAAATAGTTAAAGCACTGACAAAAGATCAAAACCCAGAAGCTACGTAATAGGAATGAAAAGAGGAAGCAACTCGCCGACATTGTCCTGGGCTTATAGTTTCCTTTGGGTCTGGTCGCAGTCCCAGACCAATGAAACCTTTATGAATCATAACCTGGAACTATTTTTATGATTACAATACATCAAAGCTCCAGCAACAACTCTTCTTCAAGCTCTTCTGGCTGAAGAGGATTCACGGTCACCAACTAAACTGTGATATGGCTGCGGTCACTTCTTTCCAGCACAGAAAATGGCTTTAAACCCACGGGTTTGGCCGAGAAATTCTCCACTGACCTTCAGACAAGACTCCTCTCCTTTTCTGCTCATCTCTAAGCACAGATGAGCAGATTTCAGCGCCGTTCGGTAAAGCGCAGCGGGGTTGAGGGTGCCGTGTTGCACCAAGCTGAACTCTTGGCTGGGTCTTAATGGTATAATAACACAAAAGGAGAGGGACTGGGCTGGAGAGGGTCATTCACTGACTCTCTAGGGGAAGGAATGACGCTGGTGGATACCAGACACTACGCTGGAAGCCGGAGCAATTTGTCCGGCTCGCTGGCATCCTTTGGGATCGCAGGAATGACGCCGCCGTATCTGACAGTGTCTGCTGAGCCACGGGGAGCGATGGATTATTTTACCTCCTCCCAGCTGCTTGCTAAAGCAGCACGGGTCGGACAGGGCTGCCGAAAGGTCCCGAAAGCACCTTCACCCCACCCCGTGCCGTCCCTGCTCCCGACGCACGTCCCTGCGCTCACCACGTCGATCTCGGTGTTGGAGTGCCCCATGTTGCAGACGATGCAGCTGTTCTTCATCCGATCCAGGTGTTCCCTGGTCACCACGTTCTTGTTGCCTGCCAGAGGGCAATATCCGTAATCAATACCCATGTTTACTTTCCCCACCTTTTTGCCTTTTCCTTTGGAAAAAGATGGACCACATTATGGGATGTGCATCCCTGACGACCCGTCCTGCCTCTGGGACCGCGTACCTGTGCAGGTGATGACGATGTCAACTTGTCTGATGACTTCATTGAGTTTCACGAGCCGGAATCCATCCATGCTAAGAGGAGAGGGAGGAAAAAAGTAGTCTGAGAAGCAGCAAAAACATGCCAAAAATAGAAAAAAAACCCCATCAAGTGATTCTCAGATATTCATTTTAACTTTCTAATGCCAGACTGGAAAAACAGCAAGGCAGCGTGCGAAGGGCCACGCACCCCAAGCCATCAGGAGGGTTTCTGGAGGCAACCTGGAGGATTTGGGACTGTTGTGGGGAGAAGTAAAAAGAGATTTTGGGGGTTTCACATTTTCTGTCAGGGCCTCCGCATCTGCAAATCTCAATTTTCAATCGAGACGGCTTTTTTAAAGCTGCTACTCCTGCACAGTACATCCAGAAGACGCAGATACGCCCTCCTGCTGCAGAATCCTTTCTGATATGGATTTAGATCATCTAAAAAAAAAAAACCCAAACACCCCAAGCCCACAGATGTCTATCATTAACCTTGCAATCCATATTTAGGCACCTACACGATCCTTAGGAGTGCTGAGCACTCAGCAAGTCTTTCCTGACTTCACCGAGCAAGGTGTATTCAGCACATTGGATAACAAGGGCAGGATTTTTTGACAGTCCTCCTGAGAACTTATTTCTGTGACTCTTACAAGCTGCAAAATTGTAGTTACTATAAAAAAAAAGTAATTTTTTTCTGCTGTATGTCCCATTTGCTGGTTCCCCCCCCCCCCACTGCAAACTCCTCACGACAAGGGCTGCACGGTGCTGCCTTGTGCAGAGTCAGGGAAGGAGTTGCTGCAAACGACCAAATTCACAATTAAGGATGAGCGTGCTGGATGTGCCGCTTGTGAAGGTTGCAAAGCAAACTGAAAGTCGATCAGCTCTGCTAATTAAGGAGGGCTCATTAGTGTTCTCACCGCGATAGCCCTTTGAAAGCTTGCTGTTAGGAAGAGGCTGCAGGTTTAATAAGGCTCCGGGTGTTTTTGGGACTCTGCTTTCGTAGTCACATCCCATCTCGCACCTTGGGATGCAGAAGCAGCATCTCTGCACCAAAACAACCTTTACTTGGAGGAAACGAGGTCGGGTATAATTGCAACGTGCCCGTGCGAGGGGACAGCCGTGTGCTTTCAGCCCTGCGTCAGGGTACCGGCATTAGTGAGGAGAGGTTTGTGAGGGGCGAGTGATCACAGCAACCAAAATATCCCTCGGGTGAGGTGTGTGCACAGCACACTAAAGCCCGAGTTTGCACTCCAAAGGTCGCAGTTCACTCCCAACATCCTTTCAAACCACGTCATTAAACTCTTATTTCAAGCCATATCGTTAAACTCTTGGCCACTGTGGTTATGATTACATGAGCTGGCACGTGGGATACAGATAAACTGGGCGATGCTTTAGTGCAGGGACCCTTTTCTGGCCGTAGGAGAGAGCTGTGGGTCCCTCCGAGGGTGCAGAGAAGCCACGAAGCCCTCACCAGCATCCCTCTCGCAAGGGACCACTGCCGAGTGGTTTCTGGCCATGGTTTTCCTGGGGGGGGAAAAAAAAAAAAGCCTAAAGAAGAAGCCGGGCTCGGTGCGACTGCTTACCAGGCCTGGAGGGCACAGATCGGATCGATCTCTGTCACGTACACTATGGAGCCCATGGCCTTCAAAGCAGCACAGCAACCCTTTCCAACCTGGGGAGGGAGAAGAGCACAGAGGAAGAGTGAGATGCCGAGAGCTCGGGAGACGCCGAGCATCAATACGGCTGTGGGAAGCTTATAGGGAACGTACAACTCCAGGCGTCTCCTCTGCAGCCCCAGGAGCCCTTGCAACCCTCTTAGCAACGCCGGTTGCGTATATTCAATTGTTGGGTGCGTGAAATTCCTGGATTTGGAGTAATCTAGGACCTGAGTCAGGCCCAGCTTAGCTAAGAGAGGCACTAAAAAAAAATATAAAAGTGCTGTTGATTTTGGTCCCAGGGAGTTCTTTTTCCCCCCAAAACACCCTGGTATCTAGAAAGCACCACGATAACGAGAGATTACACTTATCTCAGGGAAAGTTTAGGAGTCTCTTGTAACCTTTACTCTATTTAGGAAGCTTAACGGTTTAATCTCCAAGGGTTAACAAGCTTTAACACAGCGCACACGGTACAGCTCGCAGGGGGATTTCAGGAGAACGGTTAAATGACCAAAGGTTCCCAAAAAATGCGATCACACGTGAGAAAATTGTCCCATTTCAGCTCTTTGGAAAATAAAACCCAGTCCCACTACAGCACCCACAGCACAGCCCGCTGTAACTGGTGTTAACTGGTCCCAACAAGAACTGCCGAAGGGTGAATATCCCAGTCTCGCCTCGAGAGAGGATTCCTCCGTTTGGGGGTGAAAGCACAGGGGTAAGTCAAGATTAACTTATCTTTCTCGACCACGCTTCAGCATGCAACGCTGTGGCTGCACAGTACATCTGCAGAACCCAGTATTTTAATGTTATATTCAAAAGAATATAATATGTAATATAAATATAAAATATAATATTAATATATGATATATTACTATCTGGATATGTCAATATTCAAATATTAAAGATATTCAGAATACTCATGTCTTTCAAGATTCAGGTTTGGTATCTGTTTAATACTAAAGAAATATAGTGGAAATCAAGAAAATCTTCAGTTTTGGCAAACCCGCCAGGTTTGAAGATAACCTGCAGATGCAGAGAAAAGCCACGAGGACAGAAAAGCCCCATCGGATAAAGCCATGCAAAGGACGTGCTGATTCTACAAGCAGAACCCGCGTGTAAAATACGAACCCCTTACCTCCCCGTAGCCGCAAACCACTACTTGCTTTCCTCCAAACATCATGTCTGTTGTCCTTTTAAGGCTAAGGAAAAAGAAAAAAAAAAAATTAAAGAACAGCAGTAAGGTCTGTTCTTACAGGATGAGAGAGTTGGGGTTGTTCAGCCTGGAGAAGAGAAGAAAAAATAAATTTTTTCTTAATGTATTGTGGCCTTCCAGTACATGAAGGGGGCCTACAAGAAAGCTGGAGAGGGACTTTTTACAAGGGCATGTAGTGATAGGACGAGGGGTAATGGCTTTAAACTAAAAGAGGGGAGATTTAGATTAGATATCAGGAAGAAATTCTTCACTATGAGGGTGGTGAGACACTGGAGCAGGTTGCCCAGAGAAGCTGTGGATGCCCCATCCCTGGAAACATCCCAGGTCAGGTTGGACGGGGCTGTGAGCACCCTGATCTGGTGGAAGATGTCCCTGCGCATGGCAGGGGGCTGGACGAGATGATCTTTAAGGTCCCTTCCAACCCAAACCATTCTATGATTCTATGATGTTCCACTGACGATGCTGTGAAAGACGGCGGTCCTTTTCAGTTTGCTCCTCCTAAAAACCATGGTTGTATCCTGGATCTCTGAGGACACACAGCAATTCTGGGTGCAGAGAGGACCCAAAAGGCACCTAAAACCTGACTTTTTCCTTTGGTAAGTGTGGGTGCTACCTGTGAAATGCAACAAAGAGGAAGGATTTGGGGTTTGGATCCCTTTTTTTGTGGTTTTTGTTGTTGTTGGATCCCTTTGGTTTGGTACTCCAGAAATCTTTTAAAAAAATATTTTTTCTTAATTTTTTTCAAGTCAAAATACCCAACAGAAATAACTACAGAAGAAGCACGAAAGTGGTAATTTATTGCCAGAATCCCAGTGCTTTCCACAAGTAAAGCTCTCCTTTCCACTCAGTTTCCTTCTGGTTTCTCCCTATGAGTGTCCTAGATTACAGGCTATTTTTAGCACACAAGTAAATAGGTTAGCAGTGCAGGGAAGGTGAAATTCCCTTACATTTCCAAAAGAATTTAGATAAAAACCACAGCAGATTTAATTGCACCTCTGCTCAGATTTCCCTTGGCCCAGTTTTAGATGCTTGGGCCAGACTTAACTCAAATCCCAACTTGCCTACCCATGAGGTCCATCATCCATCACAATTGAAGACAACAGGATAAAGAAGATTTTAAAGATTTCAGCGTTTCTTAGCCACTGCCAGCATCTGCTACACATGGAACACGGAGCTTCAAGTCATGTCCTCAGACACTCAAAATCTGGGGGCAACTCTTCACCGGGCAGCTGACCCCCGTGACAGAGGCCGCCTTGTGCATCTTGAACCCTGTGACCACAGAGCAGAGGCACAGCCATAATAAAGAACGGCTACTTAATTAGAAGAATTACTTTGTCAAGATGTTTTCATAGAATCACAGAATGGTTTGGGTTGGAAGGGACCTTTAGAGGTCATCTAGTCCAACGCCCCAGCAATAAGCAGGGACATCTTCACCTCGATCAGGTTGCTCAGAGCCTCGTCCAACCTGGCCTTCAACGTTTCCAGGGATGGGGCATCTACCACCTCTCTGGGCAACCTGTGCCAGTGCTTCACCACCCCCATTTTTCCCATTATTGCTTCTAGCAAAGCCCAGTTAGCGACACATTGCATCTTGGAGTACACGGCTCCACACTGCAGCTTCACAGATTGTACGTATGTTGGAGACCAGCTGATGATTTTGACAGAACTTTTCCAGTTTTGATAGGCAGGAAGGACAAAAAAACACTGGCTGTTTGCAGTGTCAGGTTCTGTAATAAAACATCTTGGCATGGAAGAGCCAGATACCATCACCGCTGACTTGACAAGAAGCCCAAAATTTAGTCTTTTAGAACAACGTGTGATGGAAATGTGGGGAAGAAACTGCATGTGCAGCGGATCACCCAGGGAAGCGTACTTGGCGGTTCACTAACTCATATGGCACTTGCACACATTTTAAAGATCCCCTTCATGCCCCTGTATTTGGGCACACAGGTTTTACAAACATGAATCTTCTTTACTTCTCCCGGTCAAGATGACCTCTACTAGGAAGACCACCTCAAAGCCGAGGCGACGAATGAGGCACTCTACTATGTAGCCCACAAAGATTTGGGAGAAAGATGTTAGAGTAGAATCCGACATCAACAGGGAAGCCTACACTGGGTCTCTGAGAACCTCTGGTGCTACCAGATTGCACAGCTGAACACCAATAGCACTGCCAGATGGACTTTGATTAAACAGAAGGTGACATTTCTACGTCGGCAAGGAACCGAGAACTGCAGATCTCAAGGCTTGTTTAAACTTCAAGCCATACCAAGTTATCAACCTGAAAAAAGTCTTTTCTCTTGAAGCAGGCTGTCTTCTCCATGGAGGGTTCCTCCTCCACACCACAGCTACCTGGCACAGAGCAGGCAATCCTTCCTCTGGTATTTGTCTCATCAGCATCAATGCCAGTCTAGAAAGTCAAATTTGTCCTTGCTTCTGTGCTTACTTGTCTACTGGGACCACTACCAGATGCAATATGTCAGCATCTGAACTGTAAGAATAAAAGTTGTCCTAGTCTCACTTGGCTTTGACAAAATCTGCTGGTGGAGGTGGTGGGGACAGGGACACCCAATTCCATCAAAATAAAGAAAAAACAGAGAGGGAGAGAGGAAAAAAAAAAAAACCACTGAGATTTACACTCTCTCTAGATCACAACTTCAAGTATTTTGCACTGCATCTCAAGACCAACAATCTCAGAAGATACATCATGTTCCCGGTGCCCACGTATCCGTCAGCGACTGATTCCCGTCTGATCCTAAAAAGTACAGCACCATCAGGATGCTGCAGAGCTGCTCCCAGTCCCACGGTCTGCCTGCTGGGATTTTTGGGGGGAGGCAGCACAGAGGGAAGCTCTTCTGCTTGCTTGTATGGCATGTGGCTGTCAATCCTGCAGGACCCGGTGGGGAGAGGTGGATAAAGCATTCATCACCCCGTCATTCCCACCTTCTGCACCTATTTATTTATGCTCAGCTGGAGAACAGGGTTTAATCCTCAGACTCAAGCCTACACTTTGGACACGCAACTGTTATGGGATAAAGTCTTGGTCTACCACAACCTCTTCTATTTTCTTTCTTTCGGTTTATTGCATATTCACAGGGGAGGATAAAAAAGGGAAACTAGAAAGGCAAAAAATGTTGTGATGAAGCAGCTGGTTGACTCATACACACGCAACAGACACAGATGGGTTTTATCCTGATGCCACAAAGGTAAGAGGGATGGGAAGGAGTATTGTGTTGTAGCCCCATGTGAGAACTTCTGAAGTACGAGAAGCTGCAGGGCTTGGACACAGCTGCAGTCATGCTCACCGAGAAGGGAAAATGCATGCGAGTCACCTACACACATGGAAAGGCAACATCATCCTGAGAGCACAAAGACTCGGTGAGCTTCCTTGAAGGGCACTGGGAAGTGTCTTATATCACTATTGCTAAGAAAATATTTGATGTGTCTTCCAGACACTCTGGGAAAAGAGAAGATGTGCTTTCCACAAAAAGAGGAGCAGAGGCAGAATTTAAGTGATGTGCTCCATCCATACAGGTAGCTGGGTTAAAAATATTGAATCCAGACTTCTAGAGATGCTAACATCTTTGCTGCAAGATCATTATCCTACAAACACAAAATTCAATGTTTTTTTTCTGGTGTGAATATATTTGTAGAGCTTTACATACCATTGTACAAATAAGTCTTAAGACCTTCTGACCCGTAGAGACATAGCTGCTGTCCCAAAATCCTTGCAGATTCCCATACAAATAGGATGGACCAGAGGTAATAAATGGTCTTTGTTCTCCTCTGACACATCAACTGATCTAAAATGATCTAAAGCGGCAGGTAGGACAGACCCACGGACCCAGTTTCCTGTGGGTCCAACACAAGCAAGGGACACGGCCCTGTTTGGGTGGACATGTACGTACCCGTCCAGGATGGACTCTCTGCAGCAGTACAGGTTGTCAAACTTCTGCTTTGTGACCGAGTCATTGACATTCATGGCTGGGACGCAGAGCTTCCCCGCTTTGGACAATTGGTACAGCCTGTTATGAATACAGGAAGAAACAGATGATCAATGGAAAAATATTTCCCTGTACTCTACTGCTGTGTGCTCTTGAGGTCTTGTTTTGCTGGAGTAAGCAGTACCCATCTGGAGGGTCAAAGATAACCTCTTAATAGGAGCTCCTCATTTCAGGAGGAGAAATAGCGCTCTTCCTTCCACAGAAGTTTGCACCCATTTCCCTCCCCTACTCAAGAGCTACCAGGTTGGCAAGAGGCATTTCATAAAAACGTCAAATAGCAGAGATCAGAATGTGCTCTAGACTCCACGTGCCTCATAACTGTCGATATTACGACCATCCTCTGATGTCCTCAAAAGGACAAAACCCCCAAATCCTGCTTCAGATAACGTAAGCTGAGAGCTCCTGTAATTTCTCAAGCTCTTACAGCTCAAGGCAAATAGAAATGGCCACAGAAGGGTAACACTGACAGCAATGTGAAGCTGCTGCGATCAACACCTGCAACAAAACATCCATTTGAACAGCAGTCGGAGTGTCATCACCAAGATGTAGGACAAGAAGCAACCAGGGTGGGGAAGACACCAACCTGGCCTCCTACTTCTGAGAGCAGACTGAACTGGCAGCAGCGAAACCACTGAAAAGGAATCTAAACGCTACAATATGGCTACGAAGAGAATCTGAAAATCCTCTCCCTGCTCCAGACCTTGGGAAGGAGAACCTGCTCCCTTGGTCAGTCTCCACAGACCACCTTCAGGTTCCTTCCCGGTCTCACTTTGCCATCTGGGAAGCCTCAGTCCCCACGCTGTCTGTCCCCTGGAGCGAAGGGGCACACGTTCCCCGCACGCACGCATCCACCAACCTCAGAAAACAACCTCGCTCCTGGCATGAGACTGAGGGGAACAATTTTTGACATTGCTTTGGTTTTGCACGTCTCTTTTGCCCAAACGGGGAACGATTCCTGATGCTAAAAACATTATCAGGTCCTTTTCTTGACCCCACTGGCTGCAAACCTGAATCGGTCGCTTCCTTGTTTCAAATATTTCGTTTCCCTGTTTCGAAGGCTGCCTGCACCTCTGGCCAAACTCTCAGCCAGCTCCAGGAGCTGCAGCCAAGCCTTTCTCCCTGCAAAAATAAAGAAAAAAGCAGAGTCTGCTGCTCTTCTCCTCAGTCCCCTATTTTCTGTCACCTCTGATATGATTAATGCCACTGGAAAAGCACCTCTGATACCTTCCTAACCCGGAGCCACCTCTCCCATCACAATTTGGCTTCTGCTGCAGCCTGATGGATGTCACTCGGTCATACGGCTGCATCTCTGTGGTTCTTCCTTTCTGGACTCCCACCCCAACTAGAGACTCATTTCCTCTTCCCAAATCTCACTTCTTCCTATAGATTTAGTTTAGGACTACGCTTTTGACTTTCTCCAAAGCCCACCCCTTCTTGTGCAACATCCCTCATCCCTTCCTTTTTTCACCTGCAAAATGAGGTGAGATAACCATTGCCCCTATTTCCCAGCTGGAAAAACAAGACCTTGTGTGCTTTTTCCAGCCGCGCAATGGTCAGTAGGTGCTTCTACTCCTCGTCTGAAATTCAGAGCAGTAGTTCCAAGTCTATTGCTTTCGCTATATGAGAAATTTAAAACAGTTCTTATGGGAAAGCCAAGCCCATGCTGAAGAAAAACCACAGATCACGTATTAGGAGGCTCAACATTCAGCTGTGTCTGTGGCATCTTACAGCTTGAGGAACTTTTGCTACCACTGCCCTGAGACAGAAGATGCTTTTGGCCAAACGTCTCCATGCTCACAGTCCAGCCTGTCCCGTTACCTGTGGACACCAGTCACGCTCTCCTCTACTATCCCCTTGATCTTCTTAAACATGTTGGGATATTTCTTATAAATCCAATGAGTGAGATCACCTCCGTCATCCAAGATCTGTAAAAAATAACCACAAAGTCACCACTCTGAAGATCCAGAAGGCCCGCTGACCCCAAAAAGGTACAAAGGATAAATCACACGCTCAAATCATTCCTAATCAAGCCCATGTTTTGGCATCTCAAATACCACATGATGGCAGCTTAGGTGAGACTACTCTGCTTGACTACTCAGAGCACTGATAATGTGCTGGAAAGGCAAAAGGTCAGACAAACACGGCAGACCTTCATGTTGATAATGAGACCAGGGGAAACACGGAAAATTGCTGTGGAAGCTCCTCTCTCCCTGTCTTCCAGAAGCACAGATGGAAAAGCCATCAGAGTCATCAGCTTTTCTATTATGACTGCTAATGGAGGAGGATGGAGAAGGAGGAGGATGGAGAAGGAGGAGGGTGCAGAGCCACTAATGCCAATTATAATGTAACTGCATCATAAACCACTGCATATTAAAAACACTGAACCTTTTTTAGACAACAGCTTCGGGTCTCTGCCCGTTTCATCTGGCTTTGAACCTCCAACTCAGAAGTACAAAACTCTTCTTTATCAGATCATGAGTCTCCTGAGCCACCCAGTTCCTCCTAATGACACATTTCAGGGCGGTGGAGAAAGCCAGAGACTTACTGCTTTAATAAAAACATTAACAATAAGCAAGTCAAGGTGCCCTTTGAAAAAGTGCTTCGGAAAGGACAGACATGAAAACAATTTGGTCACAGAAATCTAAAAATTGCAGTGAAAATCGATGTCTAAGAGCTTATCTGTTCTCTGCTGGTGTTACAATCATCCAGCATATGGAAATACCTGGTAATGGCTTTGGACATGAAAGTCGTAACACCGCTAAAAGTCTAACATGTACATCCAGATACACCTTTGCAGGGGTTGATGTTATTCAGGTATTTTTGTGATGTGCTATAGTGTCACCAGGATAATCAAAGACTTTAAGCCAAGGCTTTTTACCTCTGTAAGTACAGAATCTCTGATAATTACAGCAAATCTCACTGCTAGTGAGATTTATTAGGAGTCTCATTGTGTCTGTCGTGGTGTAGCCCCAGCCAGCAGCTCAGCACCACGCAGCCGCTCGCTCACTGCCCCTGCCCCCATGGGGTGGGGGGGGGGAAAGGAGGAGTGAGAGTGAGAAACACTCCTGGGGTGAGATAAGAACAGTTTAATAACTGAAATAAAGTAAAATAGTAATGATAATAATAGTATAATAATGATAATAATAATAACAATATCCAAAGCAAGTGATGCACAATGCAATTGCTCACCACCCGCTGACCGATACCCAGACAGCTCCTGAGCAGCGATCGCTGCTCCCTGGCCAACCCCCCCAGTTTCTATACTGAGCATGACGCCATATGGTATGGAATAGCCCTTTGGTCAGTTTGGATCAACTATTCCGGCTGTGCCCCCTCCCAGTTTCTTGTGCCCCTGGCAGAGCATGGGAAGCTGAAGAGTCCTTGACTGGCATAAGCAGTACTCAGCACCAACTAAACCATCAGCGTGTTATCAACATTCTTCCCATACTAAATCCAAAACACAGCACTGTGCCTGCTCCTAGGAAGAAAATTAACTCTATCCCAGCTGAAACCAGGACAGTATACACACTTTCCTTGTAATGAACATGGCCCCAGCCCCAACCACTTTGGCTCATCCCCTCCTACATCTCAACACACAGCCATACCCAAGGAGGGTGCTGAGCTCTAAACGCTTCAAAGAGGGACCCGCTGGAGTACCATAAAGAAGTGTCTGGGAAAGAAGAAAAGATACGGGAAAAGAAAAAACACCCAAACACATGCATTTCCCGAGTCCTCCTGCCACGCTGGTGGCCTCAGGTGGCCCAAGCAGTGCCCAAGCAAGGTGGGAAGTGTGACAACCCCCATTAGACTCAGACTCAAGAAAAAACAGGGAGCAGATTTCACCGAGTGGCAGGTGAAGTGCCAAGGACCTGTGCTAGCTGGGCTGGCTGAGAGCACATTGCCCCGTGTTATCATCATCCTCCTCTTCTTTGCATGTTCCCTACATCAGCGTCAAAGACTTCTGACTGCATCACCATCATCATCACTGTCTTTGCATATTCCTTACACCAACATCAAAGGCTTCTGACTGCACCATCACCATCATTGTCTTTGCATATTTCTTACACCAACATCAAAGGCTTCTGACTGCATCATCACCATCATCATCATCCTCCTCTTCCTCTTTGAATACTCCCTACACCAACGTCAAAGGCTTCTGACTGCATCATCATCATCCTCTTTGCATGTTTCCTAGACCAACATCAAAGGCTTCTGACTGCATCCTCCTCTTCCTCCTCCTCCTCTTTGCATGTCCCCTACACCAACGTTCAAGACTTCTGACTGCCAAGCCAGCCCTTATTGATCTACTGGTGTGGCGTGCAGGTGTCCTAAAATGCAAATGTCAAACCCGGGCAGAAGCATCTCTGCTCATCGGCTGGCGGTGGAGCCCGGCAGGGACCCTCTGCCACACGCGTCTGCAGCTCTCCCACCAGCATCGGCAGCCACCCAGGAAAAATTAATGCTCCCACCATGCCCCTGTGGCAGAAGCCCCATTGCAGGCACAAAGATGACATTCCTGAGCTTCGTCATGACACAACGTGGTGGCTGCACGGAGCCACCACTCCGACATCCGTGGGCAAAGAGTTGTTTGGAAATGCTACGTGCTATCACAAACTTTTTCTCTCTACATTGCATGATTTCCCACTGAAGACGAATGCTGTGGGTAGCAGCTGCTCCTCCACGAACGTCTGGAAAACACACGGTGTCCTGCCAGAGCAGAGCACGTGTCTTCCACGCAGACCTGACTCTTTGGAGTCTCCAGGGAAGCCCCAGATCCACCGCCTGTTCGCAGGCTGGGAAGCAGAGGCAGGTAAGGGTTAAATGGGCTGAGAAGCTCTCCTGGGCCAGCTGAGGTAGGAATTCAGCAGCCTGGCTCCCAGGACATCTTCATTTCATTAATCCCCATTTAATAGGGCACATAATCCTCTTTCTAAGAGAGAATTCTGGGGGTTGGCAGTTTCCTCTTTCCTAGGAGGGCAGGAGATGAAAAAAAAAACGCAGACCAAATCAATGGAGGAACTAGTTTTTGATGGAAGGTCACCTCTGTGTAGCAGCTCCAAACGGCCAACAGCAAAACCCGTGGTACGGGCCCCATATCCCTGCAGTTTTCTCAGCTTTACACAAGTTATCTGCCTTCACTGGAATTCTTCCCAGGCAGATTTTTTTTCCTCCTGGGAAATAAAGCCTTTCTTTGACATGCAAAGAGTTTTTCGTACAGAAAATCAGCCGTTATAGAAGTGCGCCTTGCTCTGCCTCCCGGTGCTGCTGCCTGACGCCCACCAAGAGGCACGATCTGCAAACCAATGCTCCCGGCTGTGGTTCATCAACCTCCCTCTTGATTTTGGCACTTTCATCTCGGAGCAGAGTATGCTGGAGTGGTCGCGACTGTAAAAAAAGGTCTTCCTATCACATTTCTCTCTTTGGAGATGGGACCATCCTCTGACTCAAGCACCAGGAGATAGCTAGTCCTGCTCCTCCACAGCAGTACTCACCCTGAATTTTTATGATTTTTGACTGATTTGGTGTATCCGTATCCCCTCGGTAGGTGTTCCTCTCTCAGTGCTTTTCTCTCCAAGTAACCAATTTCACATTGCTGTCTGCACAGAAGGGCCGTGACTTCTCACTCCCTCAGTCCTCCCATTTCATTTTTTCTCCAGCAGAAAATCTCTGGCTCTTCCATGAAAGAAACTGGTGTCTCAAGGTGCCATTTTGAACCCGTCTAAGATCCCTCTGCCACTGAATGTCTCACCTTATCCCCCTTCCAACTCTCTTGGGGCAACAGCCGATGCTGTGGGGCTGATCTTGCCAAGAACAAGCTGATTAAAATTAGCTACGATGAAAAGCTCAACGACGTGATTGAAAATAACGCACTACAGAAAATGACTGGTGAAAACACAAGGAGGTGGCAGGAAGGCATGGTCAGGGGTGGCATCGAAATGCCCCGGTGGCAGCGTGGCCCTAGATCACTTTATGCTGCAAAGGAAACCAAATCCTCAGCCCTGGAGATTCAGTATTTTTTCAGAAAAAAACCCTCTGAGTCATTCCTGTCCAGACAGAGCACTCCTCTAAAGGTCTGCTATTCCCATCAGAAAACCCAATGCTTTTTTTTTGGAGTCTCTCAGTATTCGTGGCTAACTGTTCCCATGGAGTAGGGCCACACAGAAGCCCAAACATTGAATATTCAGATTTCTGGACTGTAAGACATCCCTATTTATTTGCATGGGACATACAAAGTCAGCTCCATCACGCCTTGCAATGCCTACCTGGACACGGGACCGGTGAGGGCCAGCGAAGCAATGCAAAACAGGACTCTTGGGGTGTATCTCAAGCCCTGATATGAAGTCAGCGTGGCTCACAGCAAGCTGCTGAACTTCTTTGACCCATTTTGCTTTCTCTTAAGTAGAAATAGAGATTGCACTTCTCTTTCTTGAGCTTAAAGATGCAGAAGCCTGGAAATGGAGATGCATTTCCATGCTACTTCCATCTCGGACCAACAAGTAAAAGTTGGATGGATCAACAAGTACAAGTTGGATACTTATGCTCAGAATTACTCCACACTTTGTAATAGTCCAAACTGATTATTTCATGCTGGACAGAGATAGGCACGTTACTAAAATACTTTTCACAGAGAGAGAATTTCCCATTTGATCACACCGTGGCATGTAGCACTGCACAGAACATCTTCAAAGCACTGCACGACCACTAATAATCATCAACGATGCTGAAAGGTACCGCTGGTATTTCGTTGATGGGAAGAGAAGACAAGAGACAATTCTTTACTGTGAGGGTGATGAGACACTGGAGCACGTTTCCCAGACAAGTTGTGGATGCCCCATCCCTGGAAATGTTCAAGGCCAGGTTAGACGGGGCTCTGAGCAACCTGATCTGGTGGAAGGTGTCCCTCCCACGGCAGGGGGGTTGGACTAGATGACCTTTAAGGTCCTTTCCAACCCAAACTGCTCTGTGATTCTGTGAAAAGAGGTTAGACTTGGATTTATACAAAGGTGATGGGCTGCCAGGAGGAGCGGGTTAGAAACCAGCAGCTCAGGCTCAGTCCTACAACCTAGGGGTGTCTCTCTGATTCAGGATATTGGGGGAAATTCTCAGTCTTGAGAATGGAAGAGAGAAATACGATGCTTGCTCTGAAAAGGTGCCATCAGCACAGGGAGCAGAGTAGGTCCGTCTCGCTTCAGCCCTGGCACTGGAAGGACTGGAGAGGCTGATTTTGTCTTTCTTCACCCAAGTTTGCCAGTTCATCTCTTCTGAAATAATCATATGAAGAAGACCCTTTCCATGCCTATTCTTCACCCAGTGTCCAGCGTCCTATTTCTTGTCTCGAAAAACGTGGACCTCCAAAATCTGGCATGCAAATCTTTGGGAGCTGCTAGATCCGAGGCATTTGGTGCTCCCTAGCAATTATTTCTGTGCTCCAGAAGCAAGTCTGAAAATACACTGATGGATAGAGACACGTTGCAGAATCAAGAAGTCTGAAGAGATCCTAGGAAAGCATAATATGCATATTCTGGTACGTTGACTTCTTCAATTACTGACACTTTCGATGGGAAATTATTCCTCAGAAAGAAGAGAAAAGCTGCTCTCATGTCTAGACTCAAGACTCATAGCTTGGGGGTGGATTTTTTGACATTCACAATTTTTTTTAAAGGTGACGGCGAGGAAGTGAGCAGGTGTAGACTGGAAGGGACAAAAAAAACACCTCAAACAAGCTGATATTGGCAAACAAACAATACAGATACATGCCTGTCTTCCACATTCGATTACTTTTTTCTAATTTAGATCATAAGCTCCAGGGCTCAAAATCTGTCAGGAAGCATGACGAAAAGAGCACATTTGACAGCTGTAAATTATTCCACTCACCTAGTTCAGGGCTCTGTGTTTTCCCTAGAAACAAGGGCAGAATAAACCAGCAAAGTACGGAGTTGGGCTACCTGAGGTTTTGTGTTTGTACAGGAAGGACATCACCTAAAATCTAATTTTTGTTCTGCAACAGAAGCCTTGCCTAGATAAGAAAAATCACATCACCCAAAGCTGTGAATTTAATCAAATATGGTAAAATGGATGCAACCCCTTTTCAGAACACACTGATTTTGACTCTGTTTTTTACTGGCTAGATTAAATCAGGTTGGTGTAAACTGTAGCAAGCTACTCTGGAAGCAAACTAAGCACGCTATAAAATTTGCACTAACGCAGCCGTGCTTATTTAGAAAACTGTTAAAACTTTGCTCAGTAGGCATGACTGATATCTGTGGATAGCCACGCAAAAGTCAGTTAACCCACCTTCTCCCTGACTTTACACCTGTGAGACTGCAGGTCTTCCCGCATTGCGTAGTTAATTGTAAAGCACTTTGAAGGTAAGTGCTGTGCCAGCACCAAGCCTTAACTGCTAAGTTAGATCTAAATTCAGGAGGAAAACACAGACCAGCACTCAACCCTCTTCCTTCTCGCTAGATGGGAGCTACCCATGCTTCAACACACGCCGAGCATTTTACAGTCAGCCCCATCTCACCATGTTGGGCTGCCATCCTTCAACGTTGACGCAGCGATCGATGCACCACCAGAAGTCGTCTTCGGATTCTCCCTTCCAGGCGAAGACGGGGAACCCTGGCACAGAGAGGGAGACGGGTGCTAACACAGCCTTAGCAAATCCCTTGGGGATCAGCTCTCCCTACGTCCATGTGTGATGAACCAGGCTCCCGACACCACTGCAGTCTTGCTTGCAGTCTGATTTTTCAACATCTACCTTCTAGAAGAAGCTTCAGAGATATACATTGAAGACACACACTGAAGGCAACACATAGGAGTCAGCTTTAGCCTTCCTAATTTCTTCCTTTTGCCCAAGAAAAAGCTCTAGCCACCAGACAAGGGGGCAACATGCTCTCAACAATAACATTTATTTGCAAGATCAAACTTTTGCTGCGAGTTAGATGTCCTACCTTCCTGTTAGGCATGTTAGCCACAAATTTACTTGAATGTATTCTGACTCATAAGCAATTACTACTTGGCTTCAGTGAGCAAGACCAGGTAACAGGCAAGCTGGTGGATTTGTCTTCTAGGTCTCCCAGCTCTCATGGTAAAATCCCTGGCCCTACCCAGGTAAAACAGGATTTGAATTAAGGAATCTCCCAGGTGAGCAGCAACATGGACAGCTTCTGTTTTGTGAATTACTTCCCCCCATAATCCTCTCTTCAACCCTTTTAGCCAAAGCTATGACTCAAATTTATAGAACTGAGATAAAATTTAGCTTAGTTTCTTTTAGCAAAATAACTTTCAGGTTCACATAGCCCTGATGCCTAATAATGTGCATCGTCATCAGTTGTACTGCATGCTTCTATACTCCAGAGAAAAATCATTCTAAGATTTTCAGACCAATGGAAGGAATTGATCTGGTGCTGTTTACCTCCTATAGGTTTATTCTAAATTGAAGAGAACGAATGAAAAAACTATCAGAGATGATAAATGAGCTAAATATGATGGGACAGTAAGAAATCTTTTTAAAACCAGAAAGAACAAAGAGGGTGAAGTTTCCTACCACTCTCGGCAAGGGCAGCAGCCACTTCATTAAGAGTAGAGTAGATGTTGCACGCAGCCCATCGGCACTGCGCACCCAGCGCGCCAAGGGTCTCCATTAGGACCTGGATTTAAAGAAAAAAATCAGAAAGAGCAATGCAAAGAGCAAGATAGAACTGGGATTTTTATTTGCTATTTATGGGACAGCTTCTTGGGGGTATTTGAAGTTGGTTTTAAGCAGCATCAGGGTTGTTAGAGAGTCGCACAGAAAACAATTTTGCAATTACTTTTTTTTTTTTACAGTTTAAAATGGATGAAGTAAATAAGAACTTCAAAGTATATTATATATGCAGCATATATATGCGTGTGGGTATATATATTTATAGATAGACCGCTCGGGGTCTATTTTAGAGGCTAAGCAGTGAAAAATCCCTGTCTAGAGTTTATCGACGGGGTCTTACAGCTGTCTGCGCTGTAATGTGCGTGCAGCCCACGATCTTGGCCCCAGCCAGTGGCTTCTCTCCCTGAGCTCTCTTCCTCAAAGCCATCAGCGCAGGCATTTCTGAAAGGCAAAACAAAAAAGAAGTCCGTAATGCGATGGAAAGAGGGGTGAGCACAGAAGAAAGAGCCAGCATTGCTTCTTGCCCTTCCATCTGGTAGCCTTATGAATTTGTACAGCCGTGGCAGCTTCAAAAAAGGCAAAACCCCTTGAGAGCTAGGATCAAATAAGTCATGGCACAGCTGAAAAGGACCCAATAACCCTCTGAGGTCTTTTCCTACTATTTAGGATGTCACCACATTTTCAAATTTCTACCTGCAAAACCCAGGTGAGGCTGAGGGAAAATCTGCTTCAGGCTGAGGAGGACTTGGGAGTCGTTGCTCTGATCAGCCTCTCCAATATCCCTCCAACTACCTAAACACTGCATTACCTTTGCTACGGATTTTCATGCTAAAACAAAGTTGTCTGATTGATGGATTTAATCTTTTTTACTGATTTTAACAAAATGCATTTGACTATAGGGTAGTCCTTCGGTAGCTGGTTGGTTGGAGCTACGTGGCATAACCTGTAACTCCTTTCCATCCCACAAAATCCCATAAAAGTTTTCCCATCTCTAACAGGAATGGTGTCAAGAAATCACCGATATACTGAAGCTCGCAAGTAGAGGATTTGGGGGAAGGAAGAACCCCACAAGACAGCCTAGGGCAATGCGGAGCTTGAGGAACATGCCCCATTTACCTTGTTCAGCAATTTCAATTTCTCGGCGCCCAAATTCTGCCTGCTTTATGTTTTTCACACAGAAATCACTGCTGCCTTTGGAGTTCTTCTGCTGCTTGTCTCGGGGGGAGGTCTCATCATCAGAGCTGTCTGTGTAGGAGGCAGCTGGAGGAAGAAAAGGAGGTCAGAGACAGAACAAAATATTCCCTAAAGCCAAACCACCTGCAGTGGAAGGGTGCAGATGATCTGCTGAATGTGGATGTGCTTCTCCATGTGCACGTGCCAACTCCCTCCGTCCTCAGGGGGATCTCCTCTTCTCCTCACAACGACCTTTTCCCCACAGTCAACTTTCACCTGCAATGACCTCCTCACTGTCATCTACCTCTACTGCAACACCACACCGGAGGGAATCAGCTCGAGAACTGCCCGGGGCCCCCCATGGGCTCATCTCCGCACGCTTTGCAGCTCCTCTGTGGCCTTCTCCCATCTCTCTTCCCAAATGTTAAGCCTTTACAGCTCTAAAATGGCCAACAAAAATGCCTATTAATGTTTTCACTACTTCCAGAACACTAAGAGTTGTAATTTAAGACAGGATAGATACAAGACCCAATTTCATTTTAAACAATGGCATGGCGAAGCATTGCTAGTTAATTATTTATTCAGTTATGGTGGTATTCCCAGCCCTTGGATTTGCTCAATTTCAACGTTCCTCAATAAAGGCAATGGCCGCAAGTTGCTGCTTGGGAGGCTCACATGGGATGGTAGGAAGAAACTTCTTCATCGGGAGGATAACGCAACATTGGCACAGGTTGCCTGGAGAAGTGGTGGATCTCCATCCTTGGAGGACTTCAGGAATTGGTCAGAGTCATGGCTCACCTGATCCTGTGCTGGCAATGTCCTGCTCTGAGTGGGCAGGGGGACAAGATGACTTTGGTGGTTCCTTCCAACCAACATCTCTGTACATCTGCAAACAGCTCAACCCAGCCCTTGAATTTTCCCCTTCTTTTCTATTATAAATAACAAACACTTGGAGATGTATTTAATATTTTGCCTTTCTGGATCTTCTTTAACCCCTCCTCCCTCTTGCTTTTTTGATAAGAGAAGAGAAAGAAAGATGGTACCACTTCTTTCTGTAGTAAGGAGCCTACGGGGATAGCAAACATATGGTCTTACAGAATCAGATTATGCTTCTTGTTTGAGACAATATATGAGTACCGGGCATGGATGTGCACATGAACACAGAATTAATAACAGCTGCTGTCAATAACTGTCTTCCTCTCCTATCAATGCCCTCCAAACTTTTCGTTGGGCAACTAGTCTATAGCAGATACATGGAGATCTACTGAAGACCCCTTCATGGAGTTAGAAATCCTCCTTCCCATTTATTTTGATTACTAAAATCACATGTAGAGTCCATTTTCGACTTGAGCCGCCATGAATTAGCCACCACTTCTGCTTCCAGTTTATCAGGATCAGCTGAAGAGACTATTTGTGCCATGTTTTCCTCTGGAATATGCCCCCATGTGGGAGATCAGACCTCTTTCATCTTCTAGGACTGGCATCAGCAGTCAAAGCAACACGTAAGGCTTGGAGACGAACTAGAAAGCGTCACTCTTCCCTTTCCAGAGACAAAGCACCTGGAGCACAGGGCTCTTGGTCCAGCTGGGCTCCTCAGCACCACCATCACCACTACCACCACCTCCTCCTTCTCCTCCTCTCAGGCAGGAGCCACACCTTGGGAGCCAACTCAAAAGCCTCATCCACATGGTCATCCCCCATTCCTCTCGAAATTGCCCTGAAGTTTTCTTGAAGTCTTTACTCTCCAGATCATGTTGTACTTCTGAAATGAACGCAAGACCTGGCATCAGATTATTTGTTACAGCGGAAGAGGACCACCTCTGTAGAACAGCACCATCCATGACAGCCTCGGGGGAGCTGGCCAATACTATGCATCGCTAGCAAATGATGTGCGTGTGTGAAGGCATGACATAGAATGATGAGCTCTCTTTCTTTCACGACACCAGAAAAGAATTGGTTAAATCTTTACCCAGGAAATGTTACATAGTCAAACTCAACAGCTACTGGCTTTGGGTGATGTGTTGCTGCACGCGTGAGCTAGCTTCTCTCCCAGCACAGTCTCTGAGAAGCAATGATCTACACCAAACACCCAAGGGAGTTGTTCTAGCCAACAGTCAGTACAGATTCCCAACCTTCTACCCCAGTTCTGCGCCAAAGGAATTTGGTAGCACGAAGGGTGAGTGCTTCTTACACAGTGTCATAGGAAGAACGGCATGGTTGAACCCATGGTCTCATCACCACCCACCAATGCTACCAAAGAGCCGCAGCTTTCCAGCGGCATCCAGACCTCAAGTGAAGATTGATACCGCCAGCCCCTTCAGCAGACTTGGAGTAAAGGCAAACCACCCCTCTCCCCAGCATTTTGATAGCTCTGTTAACATTTTCACACCAGAAAACCCAAACCAAGGAGTTAAACCCTTCCCCCCCCAGCACGGCCATGGGTTTGTCTTTCCTGCAGCACCCAGCAAGCTGATTACTTTCTCTTCTGGCTCGCATGAAGCGAGCTTGAATGATCCCAAGGAAAAAAAGCTTAGCGCTGCCGCTGTCGATGTGCCAGGCTCCCCAAGACCCGCTCAGGTCTTAATCCGCTTACAGAGGAGAATTATGCATTGCTGAAATTTCTCTGCAAAGGCTCCATCCTCAGCAGGGCGCGAAAGGCAAGTCCAACCCTGCAAACAACACGCTGACGGCAATGTATTTCTGAGTTTGCGTTCACAATCCCACAGTAGCTCTTGAAGGACCGGGAGCCTGGCTTAATAACAAAAGAGCACCTTATATAATACCAAGCTCTTGTATATCAAGGACTCCAGAAGGATTAATTAGTTCAAGGAGGATTATTTCCTTGAAGACAGCTAATCTGTGCAGAGGTTTCATTAAAACCATCGATCTTGGTTCTGGGGGCTGAAAACTAATTTTTTTTAAACAAAAAAACCCCGCCTAGATGGTAGCCAAATTTTCATATGCAGGTGGTTTTTACTATTACGTATGCATAATATATAACAGTGCATATAGCACTATGGTAATTAAACTAATATTGCTAGTGTAGTAGAATAGCGTACTAACATATAATAGTAAATTTTGCCCTTGCTTTCCTGTAAACTGAAAAACGAGTACAGAAAGAAAAGGATTCCTAGCACCTGTAATCCAGAAATATCCAATTAACTGATGGGATAGACAGTCTCCAAAATATCATATCAAATCACCCAGAAGTTGATTAATGAAAGCTTCATAACCGGGGTTGGCGTTCCGTAGAGCCACGCAGCATTTTAATATAAACTGTATTATTTCAAAGAGAATGACATGAAACCAGCAGCAGGTCTCAGGCACTGTTGTCCAGTGGAAAAATGTTGGGGAGAAAAGGAGACACCTGCAGCCCATGTCCTACCCCAGCAAAGACCATGTTAGAGCCTAAACTGAGCAAAGTTTAGCTTTGCTAATATTTTAGATCTGTAGTATTTGCATAGGTACGGGCAAAAAAGGGGCAACCCGCCCCTGCTACAGCCCAGCTAAAAAGACAAATCTTGTTTCTCTTCTGCACAACCTTTTGAAAGTTATGAAACACCATGAGGATGAAGTCAATCGCCTTTAATTAAAGATATTACTGTTCTAATCTCATTTCAGCGCCCACATAACGTGTACGCGGTGCATAATACACCACGCTGAGCGCTTTAGTATTCAAAGCGCTGGGCTGATATAAACCAGCTGATCCCCCAAAAATCTTTGTTTGAGCAGATAAGAGTTATCTGAGGTTTGCAGAAAGGGAAAGAACAGTTACCAAAATTTAAACGATTTGCCGAGCGCAACACCAAAACGTCCCCTCGACTCCGAAGATGAGCTGTCAGGTCAGTGCCTTTCCCTGGTTTGCAATAGCAGATGCTGTTAAACACCACGGCGCGTCCTTGGGCGTATAAACCACTCCCAAACGGCGCAGAAAACAATTAATTACCCTGTTGAGAAAAATTACTCGTTTTAAATGACGTGGAACAACTACAGAAAACGGGCGGCTTATGGCAAGGGTAATGAGATAAGAGACTTTTACTTCTAATTTGAAGTGTCAGATCAGCACGGATCGTTAGTATTTTCATTCTTCATACTTTACAGCAACCAAGTGATAAAGCTAACGTGTTCAACGGCATCTCTTCTGGTTTTTCATAGAATCATAGAGTGGTTTGGGTTGGAAGAGACCTTTAAAGGTCATCTAGCCCAACCCCCCAGCAATGAGCAGGGACATCTTCACCTCGATCAGGTTGCTCAGAGCCCCGTCCAACCTGGCCTTCAACGTTTCCAGGGATGAAGCATCTACCACCTCTCTGGGCAACCTGTGCAAGTGCCTCACCACCCCCATTTTTCCCATTATTGCTTCTAGCAAAGCCCAGTTAGTGATGCCATCTCAGAGTACGCGGCTCCACACTGCAGCTTCACAGACTGTACGTATGTTGGAGACCAGCTGATGATTTTGATAGAGCTTTTCCAGTTTTGATGGGCAGGAAGGGCAAGAAACCACTGGCTGTTTGCAGAGATGCTGTTTCCACACCCAGGCCTCTCTTGCATCATTAAAATGGCACCGGCACTTCTTCAACATTTTGGGCAGAGATGCTGGGACAACTGCCTTCCCACCAAGCACATCTCGGGGAAGAGTCACTTGAGTTTCTCTCACTTCTTCACTCATGCCCACCACCTCCAAACCTTGGGACCTCCACACAGCTCTTGCGTGTCCAGAGAAGGGCAATGGAGCTGGGGAAGGGTCTGGAGCACAGGGCTGGTGGGGAGCGGCTGAGGGAGCTGGGGGTGTTCAGCCCGGAGAAGAGGAGGCTGAGGGGAGACCTGATCGCTCTCTACAACTACCTGACAGGAGGGTGTAGTGAGGTGGGTGTTGGTCTCTTCTCCCAAGGAACAAGTGATAGGACAAGAGGAAATGGGCTCAAGCTGTACCAGGGGAGGTTTAGATTGGATATTAGGAGAAATTTCTTCATGGAAAGGGTTGTCAAGCATTGGAACAGGCTGCCCAGAGAGGTGGTGGAGTCACCATCCCTGGAGGTATTTAAAAGACGTGTAGACGTGGCGCTTAGGGCCGTGGTTTAGTGGTGGACCTGGCAGTGTTAGGTTAACGGTTGGACTGGATGATCTTAAAGGTCTTTTCGAACCTAAATGATTCAATGATTCTATGATTCTTCCCCTCCATTATCATCTCTTTGCTCCTCATGCTGCTTCTTTTCCAGCCTTTTCCCATCCCAGAAGGGCTTAATGGGTTCTTTAGACTGTGCTACTGCTCAGCCCTAAAAGGAGAATGACAAAGATCCACGCTGAGAGGTACCAATGGGATATATCTACCCATCCTGCCACCATCCTGAGAACAGAAGTCTTCCATCTTGACTGTCAGCCTTTCATTAGGAGGGAAATATAATACTTTCACAAGCGAATCAATTGCAACTGCTGATGCTTTAGCAGGAGATGCTAAGTGCAAGCGGCGGAGCAGAATTCCCCAAAGTTGCTCCAAGTTCTTTCAGCTGTGAATGGGGAGCAAACATGATGACATCAGCCAGGCTAATCAGCCTATTAGTCTTTAAAAATTACAGTCATAAAATATACCCTGCTGATTAGATATTGGATGGAGTTGTAAAACCTGTACAAATGTTATATTAATCACAGGCCTGTATTAGAGAAGTCTAATACTTAATGCCAGCTTAAAACGCGCTACCAAGGTGGTAACGTTACAAACATAACCCAGGTGGCTTACAAAGTGCAAACAGAGCCCGGGCTGATGTCTCTCTGGAGAGGACATGGCAGGCGTTGTTCCTCAAGTTCTCCTAAAAGCCCTTGGTGTAGGAACACAGCCACTGCAGGGGTGATGGGTCACCCAGGTTGTCCCCAGCCTTGGGGGTAGTTCCTCCAAGCTTCTGGAGGAGGCTCTGGAGGTTTCTCCAAGTGTGCAAAAAGCAACACGAGAGCCAGGAAAGGAGACAAGGAACAGTTGCTCGTTCCATAGGAACGAGGATGAAGGCATCGGACCGTGCGTGGCTTTCACATCTCGCGTACGCGGGATCAGATCACAACCTCCAGCAGTTGCATCTTCTGGAAATGGGCACCTGCCTCTGCCAGGAGAAGAGAGGACCGGACAACAACGACTTTTCCACCAGTTACCTTTGCTCTTCTAAACCTGGGTTGTTAAAAAACATGAAAAGCTTGTAGGTCCTCATCTAGCGTGTTTTACAATTGCACACAGGCAATGATCTCTGATATGGGCAATGCACTACTGCCACAAAGCCACTTCATATAGATCTGCTCACGTTCATCATACATGGAAGGTTCTATCCTGTTTGCTCCCAGCACGAACCATGACAGGACGGGCACAAGAACAGGGACGTTCCCTACAGCTTCAACAGTCAAGACCCACTAGGACTTCAGATGGGCATCAACTTCAGCCATAGCTGTCAGCTATGCCGGGAAATAAAAGAGGTGAGGGACGGGTCTCCAGTGCTGGGGCTAGCCGGCGCAGCAGAGCTCGGCTCACAGCCATCCATGCACACAACTGGACGGCGTGGACAGCCCTGTGTGAGCCCACGGGCTCTGTCCTGCTTCCTTCAACAGCAGACACGCAGCTGGAAGCTGCAGGTGGGATACGGCCAAAAGCACCCTCATACAAGCAGATGTGGGTGGACTACCTTCAGATTTGATTTTCAGCCACAGGCTTTCAGCGTGCAGGATGGGACTTGTCCACGGCCAGCAAACTCTGCAACCAAAAACCAAACGTAGCTCACAGCATGTCATCCAGCCCAAACCAGAATTATTTCTTGTTATACACAAGGTATCTAGCTGAGAGGGAAAGGGCAGGATGCACCTTTGAGTTCTTGTGGTCTCTGATGCTCCAAACTACCAGATATCTACCCAGATTCTCCTCAAATATGCTGTGACCTGCCAAGGATGACCTGTTTTGCTGAGCCTGGAAGGAAAAGGAAGACAGGAGGAAAGCCAGCAGCAACTGCACATGAGGGTTATGAGGATCAGAGTAACTTAATTTTCTATCCAACTATACATGAAGATGAGAAAAAAAGCAGCAACCCTCTTTTCATGCCTTCCCTCCGACACTACCGACTACACAGCAGATCTGGGAGATGCTTCAGCAAAATGCAGGACAAGCCCTGCGGTCTGCAGCGATGCTGTAACTGCAGCTGATGGCACGCACCTGAGCTGTAGCTATCTGTCGAGGACTGCGAGATGGAGCGGGAAAGTGAACGGCGGCCGATCTTCGTAGGGCGCTTGTTGAATTCTTGCTTTTGGTCAGCAAACTGGATCTGTTAAAAGAAATGAATAGTTAAGTCAGATGTAAAAACCCAACAGCCTGATACAGAAGATTAATCCCAAGAACCCAAAGCCTCAAGCAGACACCAACACCATCTCAGTTACAGGCTGAATCGCAATTCCTATTATTTAATTGGGGACAGGGTACGCTAAACCGCCTACTTGGTTTAATTTCAGACCCTCCACCAGACGCAGCATCAACACACTTGTCTTTCAAACACCTTGAAGCTCCTCTTTTAACCATACAAATTAGAAAGCTTCTGTCCCCATTGCACACAAACTTATTTTTCCAAAACGCTAACGATAAGGGTTATTCGTCGCAAGAGAAGCCCCATTAGGGCTACCCAACATTTGCAGAGCTCGTGTGGACACTGACCTATCTCGCAACGTTTATTGTGGTGACCAGAATGGGATGCTCCCTGTTTGCCGTATGAAATACAAAAGGCAAAAATAAAAACACTTCAAGCAACGAATACCGCTTCCAGCTGCACTCTATATTAAGAAACACTTGAGATTAGATACATCACTCAAGGCTGTTGTAACTGTTGGGAGCATGGACGCCTGGAGAACACAAGTATTTAAGAGTACTGCATTCAAGAGTACACAACTTTATACAACAAATCAAGAAATGAAGGATAAGGCATGCAAACGAAGCCGTGTGCAGACTGGCAAAATGTAATTATCCAAGTTGGAGAGGAGGAACAGACTATCATTTACCAGCAAGGCCTACAATAATACCGCAGCGATGGATGTAACACCAATATTTTGTGGCATTTTGCATCTGCCCTCTTTTTGAATGGAGCTCCTCTCATTGCAACAAATTGTTGTGGATGACAAATAGCAACCCGCTCAACCCGAGATGAAGAATCGAGCCCGTTTCCATTTCAATCATCACCAAGGAATGAAGATTTTAAGACTCCCCAGGAACATCTGTGAAGCCCCAAGAGCCCCAGCAGCGGGTTTGAGAGCAGCCGAGCACAACCAGGCTCAGCCCTGCCCACGATAACTGCCAAGCCGAGAGATAAATACTTATTTTAAGTCAGCAAAGCTGATCTGCTCCAAAGCATGCAGAGGACAGAAGAGATAAGTGAAGAACTGTCACTTTATCGAGGCCTTTTTAAGGGGAAAATGACACTTAACATTGGTATTTACAGAACAGGCTCCTGCCAGCGGCTTCACGCCTTCCCTGGCCAATGCATCGCTTGGAGGAGGAGAACCTCTTTCTCCGAGCTTCGTTTTACTCCTGCCCTTGGCTGAAAAGAACAGCAAGAAGGCCAAATAATCAGCATTTCCTTATTATAAACTGCCCAAGTCCAGGTATTCACATAAACCAAACATCTGCTCTTACAGATGATTATTAGTGATTTTACAGTAGAAACTCGAGCCTTCCATGCCCCGTTGACGTGCACCTCGGGTTGAACTTGTCTTAACGCTTCTCCGCTCACATCAGCACCAACTTTCCGCTGGTGACCCCAAAGGGCTCCACGAGCATCAGACACATTGCAACAGATGTCAAAACTGCTCAGAGCGCACCTGCCTTGCCCAAGGGATGCGGCGCGTCTCAAAACTACACCGGCAGCAAAACATCCCTTTTAATTCTCTCTATACGTGGCTACTGGGCCATATTTAAGCATTCAGGAGAACAGGGTTATTGTTTTAGGAAATATTTTAACTTGCAGTGCTTGTTTTTTAAGCCAACCACCGATGCTCCCACCATTTTCAGGATTCGTGCTAAATCTCAGTGAAATCGGAAAAGTGAATTCCAATTGCAAATTTCCTTGGACTTTGCTATGGGCACAAACTGACTCAATCTGGTGCAACAGGGTTAAATATTTCCATCTCCAAAATACTGAAAGCCATTAATTGAGTCTATTAACTAACTCCTTGGGGTATTTTGAGAAGTTAGTTTTGTTTAAAGAAGTCACCTAACCATAAAAAATTTGATCCTGTTTTGGGAACTCAAATTCAAGCTCAGTGCTTTAAAGTAGGAGCACTTGAGATGGGCTGGTGATGCTCTAGAGCTGGTACCCGGCTTTTTGGGCCAATAAGTGAAGGAAAAAGGGGTCTCAGGCGGCTAATTCAGAGTCCCCTGTGAAGCCAAGTCTGAGCTGGCCCAGGGACAGCCCAGGGGAGGGGGGAAAGGACCCGGGAGAGGATTTGCAGCAGCACCTGGAAGCTCTTTTTTTTTTTTTTTTTTCCCCTGCTAATCTTAAACCAAACAACAGAACAACACCAGATCAGGAAACACACAGGGGAGGAAAAAAACCCACGTCAAACTCATATTACAGTCGAGTTGTGTTGCAGATTAACACCTCTGATCCCGGTGGGACAGGGTCTTTGCACACACACCATTTTTTTTTAATTCCTTTTCTAAGAAGCTGTTGGCCCGAAATAACTTCTTTTTTTTTTTTTCATTTAAAACAAATCCCTCGACAGCTGCGCAGCTTCATCAAAGCATCAGGTTATTTGTGCGAAACGATGCTCTCAGCAAAGTGAGATATGCTGGAAGGCTAACAAAAAGTGAATAATTTGTATTATAGTTAACGTTTTCCTTTTCCACATCATCTCTTCAAGGACATGCAATGCAACTATTTCAAGTGACACGGTAATATTGATAATTGCATTCAGAGCTCCTGAAGTACCTCCACATCAATATGCAAGACCATGCCGAAAAGCAAAATAAGTCATGAAACAAATTAGGCAGAATTAGAACTGGACTTTATAATAAACACTGCCCTAAACCCCTTCAAGGGCTTAAACCCCTTAAACGCTGCCACAGGCTGGGTTTCGCTTTAGCTGAGCATGGCACAGACTGGCAAGAGGTGGAAGGAGGCATCAGAAGAGGAGAACATCGGGAAGGAGCGTCTGCCAGGTCAAGGCTCAGGTCTGCTTTTAGCTAGCATTGACCCTTCACCAACGCCTTTTGACTTTATCCTTCGAACGACAGAGAGAGCAGGCAGAAATGGATGCTCGAATTTGATTTATTTGAGACATCACCTTCATCCAGTGCTAAATTTTGTATTGCATGGACATGTGAAGGGTACAAAGTGCCGGCATGAATATACCCTTAACCAGTTTCCACAACACATCTTCATTTTAGAGTTGAGATTTCAGCAACGCACACTCAATCCAGGAGAAAACCAGACCCTGCTTACCCAGACCAAAACTCTGGTTTAAATCCCTACTGAACGGCACAAGGCGACTGATGGCACGACGCGCCATGTTCCAGCCTGGCTGGAAAGATGGGGGCATTCAAGACGGGGATGAGAACAGTGATTTGGTTCCAGGTTGAACGCGTTCAGCTCAAACCAAAACGCCTCTGAAGGTAGCAGCCAACTTTGCACAGGCTAAAGCTCAAAGGAGAGATCATGAAGCCTTTGAGAGCTGCAGGTGCTTGGATTTAGGAGTCCAACCTGCTCTGCAACTACACAAGCGCTGCTGCTTTCAACCTTCAGCAGGAAAAAGAAAAA